TCGAAAACTGGTCGAAACTGGTCGAAAACTGGTCGAAAACTGGTCGCAAAACTGGTCGCAAAACTGGTCGTACGGACGTCGATGGGCCTTTCATTTTCGACCACATTCGGGACTTGAAAAAAGACGTCTAAATGACGTCTTTTGGACGTCGTTTTGCCTGCTGGGAGTAGTAGTACCACTACCACTGTGTACTTACTACTACTAGTGTACTACTAGTCTGCGAATGCAGACTAGTTATAACTCCGCTTTGCTAATCTGAGGGTGCGGGTTTATCCAGTCCCATCCTCCAGCCCCATTCTCCATACCTCCAGCCCCATTACTGGGGTCTGCCTCGGCTCGGACTAGTGTACTACTAGTACTAATACTACTGGCTACTGCTACTACTACTACTACTACTACTACTACTACTACTACTACTACTACTACTAGTACTACTACTACTACTACTACTACTACTACTACTACTGGCTGTAATAGTACATAGGCATAGTAGGCATCTAGTACTAGTAGGAAATACACAACAGGTTGAGGCAGTTGTATGATTATCTGGTGCTTTAGTTATTGCAGACTCAGTGTCCAGTTCGTTCTATAATCTATGCGAGTATGACTATGAGTATGACATCGTCATTGCGAATAACACAAATATATAAAACAAAATTGAGTAATTGAGTCAACAAGTTGAGGCAGTATAGCCAGTAGTCCCGTACAGATTGTCAATACATGTTAATTCGTTGAACGTATACCCGTATTTCCTCTAAAACAGTGAAATCGAAGTGAGATGCAATGTTTCCACTGCGAAAATAGCACAGACATCGTACCGGATGTGATCAGTACCACTAAGTGGCGCCGCCTGCCGGTGACCCCACATCGCCCCATGTGTTTTAATGTGAGAGTGCGGAAGTCAGCTATCCATGTGTTGTATATATCTATGGTAAGACATAAAAATCCAACAGATTACGGAGGAGCCAGGTGCAGATGCAAGTACACCTAAGGACACCCAGGTGCAACAATCTGATACACCGGAGATGAGTGTGCACGAAGAAGCAGAGGAAACCCAAGAGGATCTGCGACCAGAGGAAATGGCGACACCTCATCAGCCAATATTAAATCTACAGGAAGTCAAGAAAGAGCAGCGAGAGGACCCTCAACTACAGAATGTTCTGCGAGCACTAACAGAACCAAACACCACTAATAAGGAATTGCAAATCTTGTCAGATTACAGGCAGGACTACTACATCATGTGACACCACCAACAGGACATCAAGCAGCTAGCATTCAATTGGTGATACCGCATGTATTCAGGCAGCAAATCATGGCAGCATTGCATGATGACATCTACAGTAGACATCTGGGTTTTGATAAAACCTATGACAAGATTAAAACGCGATATTTTTGGCCAGGAATGTATGCAGATGTGCATAACCACATCAGAGCATGCATTCCATGCAATTCCAGAAAGCTACAGCATGTACGCTCACCAATAGGAGAAACACCAGTACCTCGGGAGCCTATGAACGTGGTGGCTGTGGATACTTGTCAGTTCCCACTCACGCCACGAGGTAATCGGTACTTGATACACTTTCATTGTTTCTACACCTCGTGGCCAGAGGCATTTCCGGTCAAAGACAAGACAGCAGAAACCGTAGCCAACCTTTTGGCAACAGAAATCTTTCCGCGACATGGGGCACCACGAATCTTGTTATCAGACAACGGACCGGAATATGACAGCAAACTCCTTACTAGATTGACCAATCTTTTAGGAATCAACGCCATTAAAGTTGCTCCCTATCATCCTGCGAGCAATGGTGTGAACGAATGATGGCATCGGGTACTTAACTCAATGCTCTCGAGCTATGTCAACAAATCGCAGACAGATTGGGACTTAAAGATCCAACCACTACTCGCAGCATATAGAATGAGTATGCATGAGAACACGAAATACACACATACATCTCATGTACGGTAGAGAGCCAACATTGGCCCTAGACAACCTGCTTTGCCCGAGAAAGAAAGTATACGACGAGGATCTCATAGCACAGACATCCGAACGCTTACACCAAGCCTACTTACACAGCCACAGCCGCCACAGTCAGGGATAGGACACGCTTAGCACACCTCAGGAACAAGTACTATTACGACAAACGTGCGAGGCAGCTCAATTTCGAAGTAGGCGATCCAGTATATTACCATGATCCAGTGTTAGAGGCTAACACTATAATGAAGCTTGCGTCACCCTGTCAACCGTACTATACGGTGATTCAGGTATTAACGCCGAAGATATACCTGATCCACCACGAGATCACGAAGCAAGAGGTGATTTCACACGTAGAAAATGTTCGGGCAGCGCACCCACACGCTAGGTGAGACTGCGGCAAGCCGGCACTGCAAGAAGATGTGCCAACGGGAGTACGTCGCCAGCCTCATAGGGCAGCGACATTGGCATATCCACCCGACGACGAGGGAAGTAGCGATGATGAGTTTGACGAGGAGGATGAGCTCCCTCTGTCACTTCATCACAGCGCCCATCACGCAGGTTTCAGCGGGCTCTACGGAGCAACCGCAACCGTCAACGTCTCGTGCAGTTGATCCCTTCGCGATGGATCCATCTGCAAGTGACATTGAGGCACAGGAACCTAATTCCACTCAGCGGGTTGACGAGAGTGATGATGACACAGTCATCTACACCCCGTCGGAGTCGGTGAGATCCATAAGTCCTGGTATGGAACCAGACTCAGAAGAAGAAACCAGTAGTAGCCAGTCCTTCAAAAGACGGAAGGCGAGCGACGGAACAAATGAATTCAATGTTCCGGTACAGCCTGTGAAGCGGGCACGATTAACAGAAGGAGAGCCCGAATACGGCTCAACCACTACGACAGCACAGATTGCCGTCAT